TTGTAAACCTATCTAGTTTTTCTACGTAAACGATGGAGTCAATCATTTTATCTCATTCCATTCATCATACCACTTGTCATCAAATGACGCATCCTTTTTTTTCCTTTTCTTTCCTTCGTCGAGAAAAAACGTTTTTACTGTATGATAAGGTGCCCGCAATTCAAAAATGCAGCACTATCTTAACTTTTGGTCGAAAGCTACATATTCGGATAGCCCTGCTTGAACTGATTCCGAATATCACCTTTTTATTCGAATTCGATCACGTTTTCGGGGAGGAATCCTCAAAATGCTAAGAGTACCGAAAAAACGAAAAATTTGCATCACTCTAAGAAAACTTGAGATTTTGTCGATTTTCGTTCACTAAAACTTTTCGAATTTGATATATTCGGATTCCCCATCAAAAACTGAGTCTAGTCAATCACCTTTGAGTCACAAAACACAAAATACCTGTGTTTCACAATTTTGACAAGAGTAAGCACTCGACACAATGAGCTGCCTCTCTCGCAAACCTCTCTCCTCCTTGGTTTTGAAACTTTTCTCCGATCATCATACGCCATTCGAATCATGCAATAATGTCAAATCTCAATATATCAAAAGATGCAATCAAGTATCCTCTGTAAAATAAACCGCAGGTCTCTATCACTTTTCATTTCGAGTTGTTTAAAAAACAACCGGGACCGCTGTGCTTTGATTCTGACAGTTATACAAATCAAATTTCAAGAGCATTTCATTTCTTTGCTGTTAATCTCTCAAAAAAAGCGATAAAAAATCTTGAAATGAAAAGTGTTGAAATTTCATTTGCTCTTATATTTGAAACAAATTCAAATGCGATGCTAGACACAACATTCATATTCCAGCTCATTCTCTTGAGAATATTTTATTAAAAGTATTCTTCTATGGAGTCTCATTATTCGCTTTAAAGGTTACACAGCAAAAGCTATTTTCTTTTTGTTTATAGGTGACTACTCTGATTAAATAAATACACTTCCAAAAAACACAAAGAAGTTTCTCCTTCAGAATTCTTGTGTTACAGATTCCGTTAAGAAATGTGTTTAATATTGATTTTATTTCATATCCTCTCGTTTTGTTTGTTTTACAATGAAATACAAAATATTATTGACGCATATATGTTGTCTGAGGTTTAAGTGAGCGGTGTAGAAGTCAAAAATCTAATTAGACGTTTCACACTTGTTATACTTTTTCCTAGGGTTTTTACATTTGCGCATGTATGAGGCAAGTAAGTGGTGACTAGCATCGAAATCACCAGTGGCAATTGACTTTTGAACCACATCTCGTTCCGAACGATTTGAATTTTGTTCTTAAATTTGTGGTGGCAACTTGAAAGTGAGTTATGGGAGAATAGTGCACCGAAGTTTGTTGTTGGTTGATATACTTTTCCGACGCATAGATCAGTGCGAAATCGAAGACGAACAGAGACTGTGGATCAAATATAGCTGAAAATTTTAATTTTCGTGTAACAGCGAAATTTGAAACTCGAAAATTCATAGTGCCAATTTAAAAGCAGAATTCAAATCGTTAGAAACCGAAATGTAATTCAAAAGTCAAATTCCACTACAATCCATTTTCTAATATAAAGCAGTCCATTGTCTAATAACTTTTGATTGCAAAGAGCTAGAGAGCTGCGGCTTTCACTATTGGAAAGTAGAGTGATGGGGCTATATACTTACGACACAACACTAGCAGAAATATTATCTGCAGGTGGTAAGGCTCTGTAGGACATTTTGCAGAAGGTTACTCATCACTGAAAAAGTTTCGAATATTGAATTCTGAGCGGTTAGGTAGATGTACCAGACCGAGATCTTCAGTTTTAAACGTGTCTCAGGCCTACAGCTTTCAGGGCTGCGGAGCTAGAAAGGTTCTCCGACCAGCATGCTATCTCGATCCGCGCAATTCTAGATGCTTCAAAAAGACTCGAAACATAGGGAATCGAGCATCCTGAGCATCGTGGCAATGTTTGTTCTTCCACAAAAGTTGAAGAAAGTTTCTCAGAATTATTTCTTTAGAAACACCGGGTATTTGCCTACGTACTCCTAAATTTCAAACAGATATATCTCACTGTTTTTACTTCAGAAAATGGTCAAAATTTTACGAAACACTCAACATATGACGGCCAATAAGAATATGGTGGAAAAACTTATGCTATGAGTTGGAGGATTTTCAGGTGGTTTCTACAAATCCATCAAGTTTTGAAGTGTTAAGATTTAAGTTTTTTGTATCGTACTACCAACTATGATTATTGACAAGTCTATCCCAAAATCAGATTAAATTATGACGCAAAAAGAGTGAGATATATCTGATTGAAATTTAGGAGTACGTAGGCAAATACCCGGTGTTTTAAAGAAATGATTCTGACAAACTTTCTTCAACGTTTGTAGAAGAACAAACATTGCCACGATGCTCAGGATGCTCGATTCCCTATGTTTCGAGTCTTTTTGAAGTATCTTGAATTGCGCGGACCGAGATAGCATGATGGTCGGAGTGCCTTTCTGGCTCCGCAACCTTGAAAGGTGTAGGCCCGAGACACGTTTAGATCTGGAGATCTTGGTCCGGTACATCTACGTAACCTCTCAGAATTCAAAATTCGATACTTACGATGTAACACATTTGTTATTGGATAAAAGATGACGCTAGTAAGAAACAGTGTTCTAAATAAATCGACTGAAGAAGTTGAACAAGAGGATGTGGTAGAAAAAAATTTAAAAGATGTTTTATATGCGGTAAGTTGACAACAAATTGGTTAGGAACTCTCTATTACACTGTTTAATGTACAGGCCATTCGATGCGATCCAAAGCAAAATGAAGTCAAATGGAAAGAATTTCAAGCACAAGTAAAAAAACGTGATGCTAAACCAGGCGATATTAAAATATTAATACAAACAACCGATAATACGCGACATTCATTATTACATCTAACTGTGTTAGTCAACAATTTATTTATTTTGAATCGATTTATTGAAGACTATGATTGTGGTAAATTTTATCCTTCTTCTGCTGCATAGACGTGTAGTATATTGAAGTTTCTTGAATTAGATTTAGAAAAGGCAATTGATAAACATGGTAAAAATGTCTTACATTATGCAGCTGGTTCATTGTTAATTAATGAAGGAGCCAATAGTAGCAGTAAATCCGATCCCGGTCTACTAGAGGGTTTTGCAAATTTTTATCATATACTACCGCGTGCATCACAGTGTAATTCAGCAATAGGTGAACAACAACAAAGACCAAAATTTTCACAAACAATTTATGTAAGTGTTTTGTAGTCATTCCATCTATTTTCACCTCTGTTCATTATTTCACTTAGACTGATCGCACGATCTTGACTCGTTTATTAGAATATAAGAAGTTTGATATAAATGAAGGTGATAATCAAGGTCGAACACCATTGCATCATGCCGTGATGAATAGTTGCCAAGCTAATGTAGAAATCCTTCTTCTCGATAAAGGCAAAATTAACATTTATGTAAATGCCTTCACTCAATGATTCTAATTGATAAAATTTTCAGAAAGAAAGAAACAGTTCATCCGTACATCTACATGCATGTCCACTTAGAAGTATAGGCAAAAACTCTATATTTTACAGACTGTCACTGGTTTAAAGATGTATCGGACAAGCGCACAATGCGAAATCCTACAGCAAAATATTGTAGCATAAAAAGGAGAGCACTACTGCCACCATTGAAGGCGTCATTAAGAAGTTGCAGCCATCCTCTAAGGGCGTTAACTAGAGCTATCGCCATCTCTATCGCCACCCACACTACTCTCACCCCACACACACTACTAAAAATATCCAAATTTATATTATGAAATTTCGCGGAATGGTCATGTCACACTGATTGACACCTTCTAACACCGTAGTAAGGTAGACGGTGGTAATAGCTCGAATTGAAAAGAAAAAGAAGCCATACAGAAAACGTCTTTATTGATTTTCTGGCTGAAGAGATTTGAAGTTGGAGACACTCACAACAGCAGAGAACCGTGTGGCTATCACGAACGTCTGGATGAAAAAGTGAGGAATCACAAGTCAAGTCAATCTTTAAAAAAATCTTCGAGTTAAGTCATGTTTGGCGTGGTCATGTCACGCTAATTGACATCTTCTAACACCGTAGTAAGGTAGACGGTGGTAACCAGTACTGCTCAGAATCATTCACGTTTCTTCTGTTTAAATTATTGGCTCGTTTTCATAGGCGAACTTTTAGTAGAGATTTTTAGAGCTGGCCAAGTTCATGTTTAACTGCTCATTTACGTTTTTAACACCTTTTTTACTGGAAACAGCTTGAATCTGCATTACATACTGGCGATTTGAACTGTTTGGTTTAAACGTGACTCTAGCTAGCTATAAAATTACTGACTAAGTTGCTTTCAGTAGCCTTCTTCAGTGCTGTCCATGACAAATATGTCGCTGAAGAGAGCAGAGTATTATTGTTGAATAGTTTTTGCTTGATCGTGATTGTCAGTAACGT